TAGGAGTCCATTCTTCCTCCATCAATTCTGGATCTTTTCCACTTAGTACTCTTGTTAATCTATCCGTCTCTTTCATTTCAATTAATCTTGAAAGCCAATCATCAGTTGTTGGGATCTCTTCTAATTTCCACTTTGAGGCGATCTGTATTCTCACAGCCGATACCATGTAAAGAAGTTCCTCCAATATTTCCTTTCTATCATTGGATCTATTTTATTCGTCATATTTAGTAAATAAAACTCTTGGTATAATTCAAACTTAAACTTCAATAAGATGGGTTCTGTATCACCTCCAGTTTGCAGAAATAATGCAGTTTGACCCTGCTTTAACAGCCATTGCTCAACGATGCAGAGAAGTCTACTGCCCAGTAGACTCTGGCAAGAGCAAACTGCTGCAGCCTCTCCTATCTTGGGTGCCCTTCCTCAGCCATAACTTTGGCCATCTTGACCGCACTTTGGTGCCGCTTGGCCACACGTATCCCAGGACTGTGAAATGTTGGAGGGGATGCGGCTGCCGTGTGATGCGTATCCGCTTGGAAATAAGCCCTGGAGTTTGTTGCGGCACCAGAGCTCTCCAAATCCCTCACCAGACTACAAATCCAAGACCAAAAGAACAAATCATAGAATCATAGAATCATAGAATCCCTCGGAGTGTGGTGGAGTCTCCTTCCTTGGAGGTCTTTAAGCAGAGGCTGGACGGCCATCTGTTGGGGATGCTTTGATTGGGAGTTCCTGCATGGCGGGGGGTGGACTGGATGGCCCTTGGGGTCTCTTCCAACTCTATGATTCTATGATTTGTTGTTTTGGTCTTGGATTTGTAGTCTGGTGAGGGATTTGGAGAGCTCTGGTACCGCAACAAACTACAAATCCCAGGGATCCCATACCATTGAGCCATAAAGCAGGGTCACACTGCATTATTTCTGCAGGGCAGCTTAGACCTCAAAGGCACTAGGTCTCTCCTTTCCACTTGCACTCATTTCATGGTTAGGTGCTTCTTCCCAAAGGCATTCAG